CCCACTTCTGTGAGTGCCCTGCAAAAACCTGGGTTTTTAGGTGGGTAGTTACATGGACAATGAGTTCCACGTGTTCCCAGAGTACACAGGAAGGGCTGGGGCTGTAGCTCAGCGGTAGAGTGCCCGTCTAGCATGCCTGAGGCACCGAGTTCAACCCTGGCATAACCCAAACTACGAAAGTCTACAGAGTTGGTGAAGGACATTTGAATCACATAACTAGGGGTCAAAGGTCTCAGGGCATGCATGGGAATGAGTTGGAGAATTACAGGCCAGGTGCAGATGCAGAACTTCTTGGGAGGCTTCTTATTGCTACCTGGAGCGTCAAGTGTGCATTGATGGAATAAGGAACGTGGCCCTTCCAGTTTGTTTCTGGCTAGGTGTCTGAGTGGGGCCAAGTTACTTAATGCCTCTGACCTCCAACATCCTGTGAAAAAGGCCGTGAGTAACCAGCATAGGCACAGCAAGAAGGATGGAGTTCGCCTTTGTCCTTGAATCTGTTTGATGCTGTGGGAATTGCTACCCTGAGTTATATTTCCCTGCCCCCATTCGAGGTGCTTATCTGCAAAGAATCATAACTTCCCTCTGCTCCTGGAGTTGGATGAGGAAGTTTGAGTGCACGTGATTATTCCTTGATCCCTGCTGGGGTCAGGTGACAGTCCCTACTGGGGACAGGTGACAGTCCCTTCGCAGCCCCCTCCCCATTTGGTGCCAAGGTATAAAAGCTAGCCCCAGCAGAACAATAAACAAGCTGCTGTTTCACCTCAACCTCGTGCTCTGTGGATTTCATTCAACCTGGACACCCTCCGCCGAGACTCGTGGTTCCAGATCGTGTGCTGGCGCGGTATGATGCTTCTTTTGTGATTGATGTAGGTATCAGAGATGTGAAGAGGGGGTCGGGGAGGAATATGGATGGGATTTCAGGCTGTGGAGTGAGATGGTCACGCTAGAGGTGAACCTGGGGTCTGGCATTTCCTAATTTGGGATTCTCTCTGTCTCTGTCTCTCTCCCTCTGCTCCCCACCTCCATCTCACTGAGCCTGAGACTTGTTGCTTCAGCTAGACTGGCTATCCAGCAAGCCCCAGTGATCTGCCTGTCTCCGCCCCTTGCCCTGGGGTTACAGATGTGTGCCACCACACCTGCCTTTTCCTAGGCACCCCAAGTGAAGTTCTCACGCTTTGCAGCAAGCACTGTGGCCACTGAGCCAAAGTTCTAGCTCCCTAAATAGCTTCTGAACAGTTTCCTTAACCAGGCTGGCCTCAGTTTCCTGGTGTATTAGAAGACAACGAAAAGACTTGATGTTGTGTAAAGACCAAATGGAAGATTTGTTGTTGTTGTTGTTGTTGTTGCTGTTGTTTCTGTAGCAAGCACAAAGCAGGTGTTGGGTACAAAAATCTGGTGTTCCAGAAACTACCAACTATGTTTGACATGTGACGTATGATCATTATTACTCTGGGAGAAGTAACAGTAAGAAATATATGAGGTTCCAAAATTATCGTAGGGTCAACTGTGTGCAAAAATTTAGAATGTTTAGGGTTAACTAATCAGTTGCATGTCAAAAAAAAAAAGAGAGGGAGAGAGAGAGAGAGAGAGAAACCTCGCTTAGGAGGATCTCACGTCAAAGATGCTTTGTGTCTGCTTCATTTGAAACAGCATGAGACAGTTTCCAAAAGAGTGATGACGGGTCACCGGAGGTGGCCCACGGGCTAACGGTACTTGTAACCAAGCCTGACCACCTCAGTTTGGTCCCCGAGATCCGCACGACGGAAGGAGAGAACCAGCTCCAAGTTGTCCTTCGGCAACCACACAGGTGTTGCTGTGATGTGAGCTCACACACAGAGTAAATAAATCTAATTTTTAAGTTAAACAAAAGGAAATGATATTGGCATGCCACACCTGCAAAGCTGCACTCTGCCCTGCTCTTCTACGTTTGCAGAATTCTGTTGACTCCAGCGCCTTGTGCACGTGAGGCAAGCATATTGCCAGCAAGTTACAGCTCTGGCTTGGTTCTTATTTTACTCAACCTGAGTCTTTCCATGGAGCCCTGGCTAGCCTGGGGCTTGTCAGGAAGCACAGGCTAATCCAGAACTCGGCTGTGATCTTGGTGCCTCTGCTTCTGGGATTACATCACATGCCAAAATGCCTGGTGCCCAGACTGACTCTTGTGCCTCTTAACTGAAGAAATGAAGGAGATAACCGGGCTGTCTGCATTCATATCTCAGCCCTACGAACCAGCATGAATGGTTTATTCTCTGTGCCGCCAATAATTAACTTGGGTGGAAATGAAAAGTAAGATGATTGCAGTTAGACCAAGAGTGTAGAACTTCTCTGAGCCATGTGATTGCATCTGGTTGAGTGAGGTTTATGTCGAGGACACAAATTTCTCTTCTTTCTTTTTTGTTATTTTATAACTAAATATTTTATTATTATTTTACTCTCTCTTCCTTCCTTCCATTCTTTCTTTCTTTTTTCTTTTCTTTTTTTCTTTTTCCAGTTTCTTGAGACAGGATTTCTCTGTGTGACTGCCCCAGTTGTCCTGGAACTCACTCTTTAGACCATGATGACCTTGAACTCATGGAGATCTGCCTGCCTCTGCCTCCCAAGTGCTGGGATTAAAGGTGTGCGTCACTACCGCTTGGTGGAAACAAATTTCTTAGTCTTTACCAGACAAAGAATACTGTCTGAAAATTGCTAGAACCCAGCCCCTCCCAGTGCTGGGGCTTTTGCTGTCTTTCTGGAAAGGTTTAGGGCTCTGGATGACCCCCTGGTGATCTACAGATTGATCCCCACCAACCCATTATTTGTAACTAACACATGGTCAGACTCATAGAACCCAAGCTAAATTCACTCCTAACTTGTATAATTAACAGAACCAACAGAAAATTACCTAAAAAGTTACTTTTCCTCATTTCACTGTTCTCCCCACCTTTCTCTAAAAAAAAGCAAAAACATAACCCAGGAAAATGGATCTGAGTTCCATTCCTCAGGATCCAGACTCACGATGCATAACATAGTCCCAGCCCTAGGGAATGAGAAACAAGAGGATCCTTGAGACTTTGTGTCTAGCCAGTCCAGCTGAGTCAGCCCACTCCAGGGGCAGTGAGAGAACCTGCTTCAAAAAACAAGGTGGTTGCTGTTGAGATGGCTCAGGAGTAAGGGCCCATAGGAAGGTGGAAGGAGATAAAAGCCTGCACTCGCTGTCCTCTGACCTCCACACAGCTCCTCCCATGTGTGCATCCACAGGAACAGTTTCTTAACAGTTTGGAAGCAACTAAGAGGGGAGCAATTAAGGAAGATAGTGACATTGGCTTCCGGTACCTCTCCACCTATTTGTCTATGTACACAAATGTGGGTGCGCACGCGCATGCGCGCGCGCACACACACACACACACACACACACACACAGAGCCCAGCCCTCTTTTCCCTTGCTGGAATTGTTTGCTTAGCTTCTAACCAGACCTGTATTTTCTGGTTAGAAGACATCTTCTGTCTTTGCTTCCATCTTTTTCTTTTAAAAAATAATTTTTTAATATTTGTTTATTATGTATACAATGTTCTGCCTGCAGGCCAGAAGAGGGCGCCAGATCTCATTACAGATGGTTGTGAGCCACCATGTGGTTGCTGGGAATTGAACTCAGGATCTCTGGAAGAGCAGCCAGTGCTCTTAACTTTTGAGCCATCTCTCCAGCCCCTGCTTCCATCTTTAACCTCATAGGATGCCTGACTTACATCTGTAAACCTGGAACACTAAAAACAGTACCTGTCTGATGAGGCAAGGTTCCAAAAGAAGTATGGACGACTAGGTGAAGTGCTCCCAAGACGCCTGGCTCACAGTAAGGGCTGCTGTAGCTGTAGGGGATGGTGGTGCTGATGAGGTGCTGTGGTACCACCAGCAGCCTTAGGTGACTGTCACAGGCATGGAGACTTTTTGGGAAGGTGATTCATGCTCTATCAGGTTCACGGGGAGAGTGTGACTCAGTGATCCCCTCGATAGCTCTACTGCCCCTGTCCAAACACTCCTTCCCATGACCAGCGTCACACGAGACATACATACTGTACACCCGTGCTCATCCCACACATTTCATGGTAGCCAGGACGTATGAACTATGTTAACTGTGCATTCACAGCTGAATGGACAAGGGAATTGAGACACACATACAGCATGAGTCTCAAAAGGGGCGAAATCCCTGAACTGTGAATGTGTGGATGAGTCCGGTGTGCACTGTGTTAAGTGAACAAAGCCAGCACAGGGAGAGAAATGCTATCCAGCCTGCCTCCCACAGACTTGGAGTTGAGTAGTGTCAGACACAGGCTGGGGAAGGGGACACTGGTTAAAGGCACAACGGTTCAGTTTCAGAGTGATTACTGAACAGACTGGTGGCCCACTGCAATGAATAATTCATGATATGTTTCCAAACAGGTGACAGTGTAGATTTTAAGTATTTTTACTATACAAAATAAAGTATGGGAGGTGAGTAACCTGTTAATTAGCCTGATTTAATCAATTTACATTGCAAACATATGTCCAAGCATTACATTGGTCTAAAATGGTGATGCATGTCTATAATCCCAGCAGGAGGGTCACAAGTTCAAGGTCAGCATGGCCCGTATAATAAGACCCTGTCTCAAAACGCTGAAAAGAAAGCCTCTGCACTGTATCACAGCAATATATATAATTATTACTAGCCAATAGAAAGGCACAAAAACTGAAGCTGGGCCTCGTGGCACAGGCCTGAAATCCCAGCAACTCAGGAGGCTAAAAGTTCAAGACTAGCTTGTTCTTCTGCATGATTTCAAAGCTAAGTAAGATTCTCTTTAAATTTAAAGCCCAGTGAGAGAGCACTTGCCTAACACCTATCAGGCCCTGGTACTGAAAAACAAAACAGAAAAAGGGGGAAGAGAGCAAGCATCGATCCTCATTCCGCAACCTACGCTCTTTCTATGCAGGCCCCGCCTCTCTCGCCACAACTTCCGGTAACGTCTAACTCAACCTTAATTCTCACCTTCTTCCGAAGTATTGGCAGGTCCTTCAAGGTACGTTGGTTCACTCTTCCACACACGGTCCCATAGCAGGTTTGGAATGCATCTTTAGCACTTACTGGCCTTCTGTGTATTAGAGTCCACCCACCGGGTCTCTGCCTTCACCCTGTTTGCCTGCAGAACAAGGAGACGTGACTCAGCTCAGGGTTCCTCTGAGCGGCGCACGGTTGCCCACATAGGCTGACATGAAATGAGTGCTCAGTGCGTTAAGATTCTGTCAGAAGAGAGCATTAGGAAAAACAACTTTCCTGGATGAAGAACCAGAGTTAGATTCAGAGATGAAGAGGGCAGAACAAAGGCCAGGTTTGATCTGTATGGTGAGAACCATCTGTATGGAGAGAAGCCAGAACACACCCTTGAGACTTCTTGCTATGAGCTGGGTTTCAAAACCATGAAAAATTCTGGTGACATTTTAGGGCTTACCTATGGTCACAGTCATGGCAGATGAATGGGCTGGCTGGAGTGTCAACTCAGTGAGGCTGAGAAGGGACCTGTCTTGTCTAGGTGGACCTGGGTCTCGTTCTCTCACTCCTCCAGGGCACAGAGACTGCTCCATGAATGTCATGCCTTGTCCCTTCCCTTCCGCTCATCACTTCTTGGTGAGCCCTGAATGGTGACTTCATGTTGAACGTCACACTATGTCTTAGTTACTTCTCTATCACGATGATGAGACACTGTGACCAAGGCAACTTATAAAAGAAAGGGTTTATTTGGGGGCACAGTTTCAGAGGGTTGGAGTCCATGACCATCATGGCAGGAAGCAGGATAACAGCTAGGCAGATGTGGCACTGGAGCAGTAGCTAAGAGCTCACGTCTTGAGACACAATCACAAGGTAGAGAGAGAGGGATTATTGAAAATGGCTTGGGCATTTGGAACCTCAGAGCTTGCCCCCTGTGACACACCTCCTCCAACATGGCCTCACCCCCAAGTTCTTCACAAACTGTCTCAACAACTGGGGACCAAATATTCAAATATATGATCTATGGGGGTTATTTTCATTCAAACCATCACACACCCCAAAGTCATGAGTTTCATCTAAAAGTGTCTGGGGTGTCTCATGAACACTGCTCTGCTTAGCTCTGTTCAGTGTCCACACCGAACGCATCCACAGAAAATGTCCTGGGCCTCTCTTTTTGGGGCACTCTTTGTATTTTTTTTCTGGGATTCCTTTGCATTTTTAAGGGTTTTTTTTGTTTTTTAAAAAATATTTATTTATTTATTATGTATACAGCATTCCTTCCATGTATGCCTGCAGGCCAGAAGAAGACACCAGACCTCACTACAGATGGTTGTGAGTCATCACATGGTTGCTGGGAATTGAACTCAGGACTCTGGAAGAGCAGGAAATGCTCTTAACCTCTGAGCCATCTCTCCAGCCCCTGCATTTTTAAGTTTTAGGTCCAGCTGCTCCTTTACTACTTGCATTCCAGATGGACAATTGACCCTCAGTACTTAAAAGGGAACTGGTTTCGGAGCGCTCTACGATAACCAAATCCTCAGATGTCCAAGTATTTGCAAATGGCAGATGGACGGCCTCCTGTGTGCTAAATTATTCCTAAATCACTAAATACAATGTACATGCTATGGTATGTTTTGTGTTGCTATTTGGATATGAAGCCCTCTATCACTACCACCAAAGGCTCATTGAGGATTTGGCTCTGAGTTGATGATGTTACTCTGGTGTAGGGCCCTGTCTCCCCTTACTCCCTGGGGTGCGTCTCTGAGGACAGTTCTGATCAGCCAGCTAAAGCTTCCTGCTAATTCCTGTGCCCACTCTGTCATAGCCTGGTGATTTAGCTGTAGGGCACTGTTCATCTTTGATATGGTAATTTCCCACCTGCCCGGGAAAATTCCTACACCGTGCCAAGGTTTCTCTCCACTGCTGTTGCTGATCTCTGCCCCCTGCCTGGGGAGAAATCCCTACAGTGCCAGTTTCCCTACAGCGCCAGTTTCCCCTCTGGCTGGGAGGGAATTCCTTTACTGGGGCCAAGGTATATTAGCTTGGCATTAAGCTGAATAAAGTGACATTTGGTGATCTCTTGTCGAATGACCCAGGTCTCTTGTGTGTGTGTCTTTGTTCAATCTCCAGGCCTTTGCCCAAACTCGCATAAGGTACGGAGGCGCGTGACCCGTACCGAGAAGGTAACAGCAGATTCAGGTGTTACACTCTGGGAGATACTAAAATCTTTAAGCATTTGGGCCAGCTGAAGGAAAGTCATTGGGGGCGGATCCTTGAGGGATTCCTTAGTGTCTTCTCTCTACTTCCTGTCTGCTCTGAGATGAGCCTCCATTGTCCCTCACTCTCTTGTATGATACTGTATCTCACTACTGGCCCAAGAGCACGGAGCTAAGTGACCAAGACCTGAAACCTTGGAAACCGTGAGCAGAGGCCAATCTTTAGTTGCTCATTGTTTCACGTATCCTGCATCAGCAACAGAAAAGCAGCCAGAACATTTAGGGAATGTTAGGAAAAAAAATTCCGTACGTTGGCAGCACAAATGCACTTTTTCTCCCAATATTCAGCTGAAACCATGATTAAACCATTCTGCAGACACAGGGGGCCACTCTTAAATTTCTGGCTAAAAAGCTTTGATTTTTATCCACCCCTTTGGCATCTCTCTTAGGAGCTGGTGTTTCCTTGGTTTGAAGCTCCTTCAAAGGCTCCCTCCAGCCTCTGCAAACTAGGGAGTTGATGGAAGCTCCTGGTGAGCATCCTACCTGAGGTCCACATGGTTTCTTCTCTTTATGACATCCCTCTCCTCCCACCCGTGGCCTGAGTGTCTTCACCCTCTTGTCCTCTTTCCTGAGGATTTTGCTCAGCGAGGCTGGTGCTTTCTCTCCTGTCTATCAGCTTGGCAGATTTACTGTTGCCTCTTTTAGGTGAAAGTTCTAGAAACCCTCAAGTTTAGAGTGGGTTGTATTCTAAGACAGCATTGTAAGTGGCTTGTTTAGAACTCACATTTTCCCCTCGCACCGATGTTCTTCATGATGGTTACTTTTGCTAGGCTGGGCCAGGAGAGGCCATTTAACTAGTAGGATTAAACTAAAGTGTAAAACCATAGAAACTAAGGGCGGTAACAGGTAGAATACAGTGTTTCCATGGGAAAATATTTTCTGGGTTCTACATTAGAATGCTAGAATTCCTTCAAATGTCTGAAGGGAGTCTCAGCACTCTCCTACCCCCACTTACATTTAAAAAGCACTACAGTATTTTTTGAGGGGCTGCTGTATGCCAGGCAGTGATTAGTCATTGTGTTTTGTGTTGTTTCTGCCATCAGTACAGCGAACTGGGAACTATTGTCACCTGTGTCAGATAGGGCAGTCAAGGCTGCTCCGTTGTGATTTGAATGTCATAGGGATGTCATAGGAATGACCTTAGGAAGGTCTGTCTTCCTAAGACAGCTTGTTCTACAAGCTGAAATCTATACCTGGGGTGGTTACAGGGGGCAGCAACTGGTGGCCAGAGGTTGTAGGCCCTAGGAAAGAACATATTATTATTTTCTAATTTTCTGAGAAATTGCCACACTGACATCCAAAGGGGCTGTACCAGCTTGCATTCCCACCAGCGATGCAGAAGTGTTCCTCTTTCCCCACAACCTCTCCAACGTAAGTTGTCATCAGTGTTTTTGATCTTGGCCATTCTTACAGAAGTAAGATGGAATCTCAGAGTTGTTTTGATTTGCATTTCTCTGATAACTAAGGATGTTGAGTATTTCCTTAAGTGTCTTTCAGCCATTTTAGATTTCTCTGTTGAGAGAAGACCCTATTATTATTACTCTCTTACATAGACATAGTATTAAAGTGATTCCTAGAAACTCATTGTTATACCTGTAGATTAGTGTACCAGCAACCCTCATCAGGGAAGATTCTTTTGCAGTAGATAGTGATTAATACAGAGACCCACAATGGTCAGATGCAGAGAATAAGGAATTTCTACTAACATTTCTGTTAGTAGAAATTCTCTGTTCCTATTGATTATCAACATCTCAGCTCCATTCTTTAGTCCATGGATTCTACTCTTAAGGTTGATTTCTTCACTGTACCCCAGAGTTCTTGGATGCCATGGTCATGCTTATTTATCTACTATTTTTCTTTATTTGTAAATGATACATCCCAGCCTTGTCTTTCACCCTCCTGCTTTGCCTGCTCTATAGCTCATGATGACCTTTACGCCCTCTTGTCTTCTTCACTGGACTTTTCATTTCCAACTTTCTCATTTTTTACAGAATTTGAATTTCTTTATTTGATTTCTCTTCCATTTTGCTGACCTTTCCAATTCATATTGCTGATTTTTCATCCATTTTGGCAACTTTCTCTTCTGTTACCAGTTTTCTCCTTTACATGTCCTGTACTGGCTTCCTCACTTCATCCATGTGTGTAAACGGTGTCCTTTTTGAGACTATTCATCATTTTTGTTGGTAGGTTTTTGAGGTATTTTCCTTAGTTCCTTCCCTGTTGCTATGTGAGAGTGCTTTGGCAAAAGCAACATAAAGGAAAAGGCTTATTTTAGCTCACAGGTCAAGACGCCCACCATAGAAGGGGGATCAAGGCAATGAGCACTTGGAGAAGCTTGTCATATTGCACCCATGATCAGGAAATAGAGAGGTGTAGTAATAGGAGTGGCGGACTGCGTTCCCGCCTAACTCCCACATGGCTAGCTTTACACCCAGAAATAACAACACACAAACTGTATTCATTTAAACACTGCCTGGCCCATTATCTGTAGCCTCTTATTGGCTAACTCTCATATATTGCTTTAACCCATATTTAGTAATCTGTGTAGCACCACGAGGTAGTGGTTTACCAGGAAAGATCCTAACCTGCGTCTGTCTTGGAGAGGAGTCATAGCAACTGCCTCACTGCCTTCTTCCTCCCAGCATTCTGTTCTGTTTACTCCGCCTACCTAATTTTCTGTCCTATCAAAGGGCCAAGGCAGTTTCTTTATTAACCAATGAAAGTAACACATAGACAGATGACCCTCCTCCATCAGAGAGGAATGAATGCCTGCATGCCAGGGCTCTGTTCGTTTTCCATTTTATGCAGTCCAGGATTTGTCCTGTCCACAATTAAGAAGGATCTTTGTGTACTAATTAATGTAATAAAGAAAGAGTAGGCTGTGGTCACCATTGTGATGAGTCACTTTCAAATTGAACTGCTGTGCCTTTAACCAAGTGTCCCCTTCCCCCAACCTCTGTCTGACACTACTCAACTCCAAGTCTGTGGGAGGCAGGTTGGGTAGCATGTTTCTCCCTGTGCTGGCTTTGTTCACTTAACACAATGCACACTGAAAAGATTTTGTGGCCCGATAAACCTCTCTGCCAATGCAATAATCCAAATCAGACCAAATCAAACTGGATTAGAAAAAGCGGAGGTTTAATGGATACCAGCACTCCCAGGCAGCCTTTCAGGCCCTGAGAGAGGAGATGGGGGAAGGAAGACCAGGAAACCAAGCGTATGTTCTCTGTGTTGCTGTTTAAATACCCTGTGGGAGTGGTCCTGAGCATCTCTGAGGAGGGGCCACCGTTTGGAGGGCTTTCTTGGAGGTGGAGGCTGGACTGAGGACTCCTCCCCAGGGGAGGGAGTTTGGGATGGAACTTTCCACCCAAACATTCCAGACTTTTTGGATATATGGATGCCAGGGGCTAGGGTGAAGCCTTAACCTAAACATTCCAAACTCTTTGGGTATAGGGGCTCTGGTTCAAATCTGGCTACTTCCTATAGGCAAGAGAGATGGGAGAGTGGGGAGTTGGTGGGCTCATACTTAGCAGGAGGTATGGCTGAAGAGGCATCCAGTTAACTGTTATCCTGGAGACCTCAGGCATCTGTTCCTTGAGGTAGATGAGAAGGCAGGTGGCTAGGAGAAAAAGTGGATTGTTATCATCGGCTAGCCATGGGAGGGTCATTAACTGCCAGAAAGAATGGGACAGAGAAGTGCCCTGGTTGTCCAGGAGACGCTTGGGTGAGTAAGTGAGACACAAGAGCAGATATGTCCTTTAAAGCCAGATTTTAGTTGTTGGGTAGGTGCCCATTTGAGCCAGGAGAGGTGATACCCGTGGTGAAGTTCCAGGAGCTAGCACAGGTGCTGGCATTGTCTGGAAGGCCCTCTGTAAGTTGGCTTTGGTCCATACAGCAGGATTGACCTGTAAAATATGCTTGAAAATGGGTGGGGTTAAAATAGGCTTTGGAGACAGTTTTCACCAGATCAGTTAAAGGAGAAATTGGAAACTCTGAACCTCTGAAAATACATCTGAAACCTGTTAATCCCAGACTATGAAGCCTGTGAAAGAGGAACATACCTGCCTGTATTTTTAGCAGGAAACTTAACAAATGAAGTAATGAATTACCAGTACCTTAAGTCATCAATGCCATCAGACAGATCTAAGAGATATAAACGAGCAGAAATGAGACAGCTTTTTTTTTTTTAAGCTATGCAGGCAATCCCAAGTCTCTCCATAGTTTTTGGTGAATACCAGCCTTAGAAGCAGTACTTGCCTTTAGGTACTGAGCCCAGAGCCCAGGGAGAAAATCTGGAGATTTTCCTGTGGGAGTAGAGTTCAGTCTACCTGTCTTGGCAGGACTAGGCGATCGATCCCTCAGCGTTGTGTCCAGGAAGCTGATGAGGTAGAAGGCAGCTTTTTGCTGTGTAGGTGGTTTTGCCATACCCAAAGGCAAGCTTCCAGGTGGAAGGTCTTCTGTAACCATGCACCTTCTTGGAGGAGCTAAAGGATGCTTCAGGAGCTGGCATGTCCCTGTCATAAGAAACTCTTTTGTTAAATGCCATACTCTCAGATCTGTAAAGGCACTTGAGAATCAGGGTACCATTACCTGTCAGGTATATCTAAATTAGACATATAAGTTAAATTTAGACATATAGTTTACCCAGTTAGTTATATCTTACCAGTGCCAATAGAGGCAAGAAGATTAAAAGGAATATTTTAGTAAGCCAAAGTATATCAAAGGCAGAATGTCTCCTTGGTAGGGCCAGTGTACATCAATACTTTTACCAAAGATGACAGCTATCCACATGTTTGTACTTTTCCAGAGCTGTTGTAATCTGGAGTTACAAGTTTCACAGATTTTAAAACAAACACACATACATACACGTAGACATTAAACAAGCATACTGTGGCCACATTATTTACACATATAAATTAACGGACAGACGAACAAAACTTTTTTAGGAACCTGTGTCAACTGACCAACTGAAAAATCCTGGTATGAGACAGGTGGTCCCATTAAGAGCCATATTAGCAGGTGCTGTAAGGGAGAACAGAAATACAAGGATGGAACTCCTATGTAGTTTTAGAATGGAGGGACAGGGGGATCAGATCTGTTGTTGAGAGAACCCCAGCATGGGACAAACAGCTAGAGAAGCGGGGAGGGGAGTTGGGGAGGGGAAGGAGGAATGGGAGCACAGCTTCTAAAAACCATGGGCATATAGGGGGCTTGTTTTCATTCTGGCAAAAATTTTAGGCATTAAGGGATGTAAGGTGTCGGATAGCCCCAACTTAAAAGGATTTTGTAAAAGGCAGGCCAAGGGTGTTTGGAGATCAGGCCTCAAACTGTAATTTCCCATTTTGCAAGTCTATGCTGGATCCAAAACCTAACATAATGTGTCCACTGTGATAGACTTTTGGGTAAAAAAAAAAAAAAACCCAGAGGGGTGTGAGGAATTCCTTGAAAAGATGTCTCCTGATGAAGGAACCCAACAGAGACAAGGCAGCCCTTGTCCCCTTGGAATAAGGCAGGTCCTTGTCCAGGTCAGGTTGGGTACCTGCCACAATCACATCTTCCACAGGACAAGCCCAAAAATTGCATGAGTCTCTGGGCCTCTAAGGCAATCACTTGGAACTCAGAACTTATCTAGACAAAGCCAATCTTAGCCTGGCAGAGAGCAATGTGGGGGAGAAGTCTTTTCTTACCACGTGGCTCTGGACTGGTGAAAAAAACAGTCCCCTGGGTGGAACCTCCAGATGAAGAAATTTTGCAGCCCGACAAACCTCTCTGCCTGCGCAATAATCTGAATAAGACCAAATCAAACCGGATTAGAAAAAGGACAGGTTTAATGGC